AATATTCTAATTTTCTGAGATACTGAATTTGGGATTTTCCTTAGTTGTCAGTTATAATCATCAAAATTAAAAGAAATAAACATTTGAAATATATCAGTCTGTGTGTAATGAATGAATATAATAGACAATGAATGGAATTAGTGAAATAAATCAACTTTTTGATGATATTCTAATTATATGACCAGCACCTGTATATAAACTAATTCATAATGAATTCTCTGTTGCTCTCAGGATGTTGAAGGATTCACGTGTCTCCATCTAGCGGCAAAGTCTGGCCATTACAACATCGTTGAGCACCTTCTGTCCACAGGATTAATCAACATCAACTGTCAGGTTGGTGCAGTTTCGCATTTTACAATCAGATATGAGCCTTTGCTCAGGGATGTCATCATGCACCACCTTATCATTCAGTAGCATTTGATGCTGCTGTCCAATCACGTTCTCCGCTAGCGGATCACATGTCTGGCTGTCTGACCATACGTAGATGCACGTGTCTGATAAGGTAGTTGGAAACGTACAGCTGATTGTTAAGAATGCCTCGGCAGTAATTTGTTTTTGACATTTGACTGGAAGACTTATGAGCTGATTGAATTTAAAGGGCTCAGTTAACTCTTGAGCTACCTGCAAAGGCACGATGAGTGACTAAAATAACTTAATTTGATTGGAGAGTGGCTCCACTTAATGTTTTTCTAAAGTTGTACAATGAGTATTTGAATGTAAGTGTCCTTTATCGACTTTATGCCTTCTTCAAATGCACTTTGATGCCGGAATATTAGATTTTAGACGGACGCGGTGCTTAGAGCTCAGAGAAAGGACTCGTCTTTGTTTGAAATGTCTGACTCTGCTGCAAGAAGGTATCCATTAGGGCAGTGAAGACACAGTCTTTGGATGAAGAAAGTGGGTAAAAGTGCAGTTTCATATTTAGTTATAATTGCCATGTTGATCAGTTTGCTGAGCTTGAAAGTATTGCTCTCTCCTCAGGATGACGGAGGTTGGACAGCCATGATTTGGGCGACGGAGTACAAGCATGTGGACCAGGTGAATCTGCTTCTGTGCAAAGGAGCCGACATCAGCATCAGGGACAAGGTTGGCTCAGGATCCTGTCGTGTGTGTGTGCGTGTGCGTGTGTGCGTGTCACATGCTTCACACGCTTCACACAAGGATCCAATATTGTGTAACTGCTGGCTTGTGTCGTTTTGTCGTCCAGGAAGAGAACATCTGCCTTCACTGGGCAGCGTTCTCGGGCAGTGTGGAGATCGCCGAGTTGCTCCTGAACGCCCGCTGCGACCTGCAGGCTGTCAACATCCACGGAGACTCTCCTCTTCACATCGCTGCTCGGGAGAATCGCTTAGAATGCGTCACGTGAGTTACTGCCTCCAGGAAGAAAGAATAAAAATCAAATAAGTTACTTTTTTGAACTGTAGTTTAAAAACAAGATTTGATTTTTTTTTTTTTTTTTTTTAAAGCTGTTTGTTGTTGTTGACCGGAAGAATGTGGTCTCCTCAGGCTTTTCCTGACTCGAGGAGCAGATGTGTTCCTGAAGAACCGCGAGGGAGAAACTCCTCCGGACTGCTGCAGCCACAACTCCAAGGCCTGGGCGGCCCTGCAGGCCAACAGGAGGGAGAAGGACGCCAAGAACACCAGGCTCTCTCGAGTGGAGGAAAAAGTCCTTCAGAGGTGGAAATTATACTGTGAAAATAGCAGTGTTTGGGGGGAAAAAAGGGGGGGGGCTTTGGGATGGGCATGTGGCATTGGATACAGCTGGAAACATCTACGAGTTCAGGCCTAATTAGATGGCAAAACACTGCAGTTTTGACCGACGTGTGCTCTGTTTACAGTGACATAGCTCTGGGGCAGGAGAGGGTTCCCCTTCCCTGTGTCAACTCTGTCGACAGTGAACCTTACCCGGATGACTACAAATACATCCCCGAAAACTGCGTCACCTCCCCCATGAACATCGACAGGAACATAACGCACTTACAGGTGAGTTAGGAACACTTTGGTCCGGCATTCTGACGGAAACAAAGATATCCTTTTCTCTGGGAAGTGACCAATAATATCTTCTCTTCTTAATCCACAGTACTGTGTTTGTAAAGAAGACTGTTCGACAAGTATCTGCATGTGTGGGCAACTCAGTCTGCGCTGCTGGTACGACAAGGTAAGAGACACACCAGTCTTCTTTTAACAAGATGTATCAGAAAGTATGTGGCCGACCGAACCGGTATGTGAGCAGAGCGTCCACATACCTTTTAGTGTATAGTATCTATAAATCATGCATGATGAGGGATATGTCCTGTGCATATACTGTACATCTTAATATATATATATTGTTTGTTGTGTTTAGAGAGGTTGTCTTCTACCTGAATTCTGCCGTGAGGAGCCTCCTCTCATCTTTGAGTGCAACCATGCGTGCTCCTGTTGGAGGACCTGCAAGAACCGCGTCGTGCAAAACGGAATCAGGTATTTCAACTACGTCTCACTGTGAATACAAATAAGATAAACTTCCTGCTACTGTCTCCACTGAAGGTTATCTTTCCTTCTGTCTCATTACTTCTGTTTCTGGTCTGCATGACAGTTTTACTGCGTTACTCCTGTGGTGGTAGAATTGTGCTCAGGACGTTTCGTTGTAACTATCTTACATAGTTGTGGCTGTGAGGTGTGTAAAGGTAAATATCTGCTTCAGGGAAAATATTAGAAACTGTGACGTTAAAGATGTTTTGTATCTTCCAGGACCAGGCTTCAGCTCTTCAGGACCAGTAAGAAGGGCTGGGGTGTCCGTGCAGTACAAGACATACCGCAGGGGACCTTTGTATGCGAGTAAGTCCCGATCACAAAGAAAACACTGTTAATATTTCACCCTTCAGATTTGAGTCACAAAGACCATCAATACTCTGCAGCCACAGCTGATCTGTTGTTATTTAGACACAACACGGAGCTGGCATGTTGTGTCACTTTTCCCCCCAAATTTAAAAAAGCCTGCTACTCTCATATGTGCAGTGTCTGCTTCTCCTGACAGAAGGTAGCAGCTTTTTCACATTCAGAAGTGCCGTCGATGTCACCGAGGTGTTTTGCTGTTGTGCCAAACCTGATCTAAACCTTGTTTATTTAATAAAAAGTTGTTGTGTTGTTTTATCATAAGTAAAGTAACTTCAAGGATATGTCAAGTCAGCTTTATTCATATAGTCCAATATCACGGCTTGTGTTATTGTTTAATTTTTTTAAATTGTCAATGCATCCCATGAAAAGATCAAAATCACCGGTGGCACCAGTCCATCAGTTCCTTCTGAAGATGTCAATATTTTAAGCCACCTAGTGATGCATAGTTTCAATTTTACAAACTCAATTCAATGTATTTATTTAACCAAATATCACAAATTTGCCTCAGGGGCTTTACCATCTATTCAACACACCACATCCTCTGTCCTTGGACTCTCGCATCAGATAAGGAAAAACTTTACGATGGAAACGGTGGAAGAAACCTCAGGGAGAGCAGCTGAGGACGGACAGAAATGCTATATATATATATGTATGTATGTATGTATGTATGTATGTATGTATGTATATATACATATATATGTATATATATACATATATATGTATATATAT